TCGCACGCAAAAAGTGAAATATATAAATTCAGACAAAAAAATTACAAAGAGCAAAATTAAAAACTCGCTAACTTGCAGGGACCAACCGACTATTTAAACCTAAATAATAATAGAAAAATATAGAAAATCAAAATTGAAAGTCATTTAATTTAAAAGAATAATTACTATGCACTATAAATTCATCAACACCATCTGTTTAGATTACTTTATAAGATAAATTAAGTAAGGAAAAAATCAACAAAGAGATTTAAAATATCGCAAAAAAAATGCCATTGTGTTTGATTTATATGTCATCAATTCCTTACAAATATATGTTACAACAATTCATAATATTATAACTACCACTAACTTTTAATTTTTTTTAACAAAAACATATTAAAAATGGCTAAATTATAAACAAAAAAACATAATTTATTTCATGTCGTGCATTATGAATCAATTTGAAGGCAATGTTTTACTGAAAAATATTACATACATAAATTAGAATTAAGTAGTTACAACATAATAATGAAATTGATACTTTAAAATAAGATACTTTAACAATCAATAAGTAAATTTTTATGATTAAAAAACCATAGGGAGGATTTGCTCAAAAAGTATAATTAGTGAGAGAGATAATCAAAGAATGTAATGTATATGCTTTGACAGTGTAAAATCATTTTACAGTGACAGTCCAATGAAAAGCCATCTAAATGTCAAATCATTAAAGTATTTTTAAATTTTAATTGTGGTTTGGTATAATACACATTGTTGATTGGTTTGACGGTGTAAAATAATTTTACACTAGCGGTGCATATCCTTTTTTCTCATAATCAAACCCTTTTAAAAAGAAAGGTTTACGCATATGGAATTCATATCTTTTCTTTGGTTTGCTCCTCACGTCTATGTCAGTTTCCATTTATCCTTCATCTTTTAGTCGCACATATATCATTTTATTTACTGTTAATATTGGTTTGACAGGTAGGAAAGATTGGTTTGTCAATATCAGTTCTTGATAGGTAGGAAAGATTGTTTGTCAATATCAGTCCTTCCATAAAGAACAAGGTGAAGTTTGCAAATGACAACACTTTAGTTGCCGAAGGCATTAATGATGTTCTGATAATGATATCGAATGTGATATAATTTCCAGGCATGCAAAGAAATTTACTCAGGATAGGCCAATTAATTGAGAAGAATTACAAAGTGATAATAAAAGATAAAATGATGAAAGTACATGACTCAAATGATAGATTGATCTTGAAGGCACTTGCGTCTCATAAAAGAACCTTCAAGATTGAACTTGATGTGATGGAATACAAATCCTAGCAACTACAGCCAACATAAATGAATGGCTATGGTATTATAAGCTTGGTCACCTCAACTTCAGAGATATCAACCAATTGAAGAAGAAAAACATGGTTTCAGGATTACCAAAAATCCATGTTCCAAATGAAGTATGTGAGGAATGTGTTAAAGTTAAGCAACACAAGAATAGCTTTAGCAAAGATGCAGGAATTAATTCTAAATCCATTCTTGAAGTCATATAATAAGATGTGCGTATGCCAATTCAAGTGGATCCAACTGGAGGTAACAAATATTTTGGCACATTCATAGACTATACTTCAATTCCATTTAAACGAAACCTGGGCAAAATTCAAAATTTCACGGAGGCCCAATCCACCTTTTTGAATTTCCTTAATTTATTATTCTAGTATAATTAATTAGAAAAAAGCAACGAAGAGGGATTGAATCACAGATATTTTATTGGATCCCTAATCTTCGTCACCCTTTCCCGTGCCAATAACTAGAATCAAAAAAAGGGGAATGTCAATGCATCTAGGAATAAACGATTGATTTCGATCAAGAGACCCGCTAGAGCCGCGAACCATAAAGTACTTGCCACTGGTGCCACAGAGAGATATGTTTTTAGATCTCGCATTTCCAATCCTCCTTCGTTTTTTCTTGTAATTTTGAATACCTAATAATACAGAATATAGGAATATGATCAGTAGAAAATTATTGACATATTTGATCAAGAAGAAAATTAATGTGATTAAGGTGTTCACTAAATTCAAATCCATGATAGAGAGGAAAAGTGGTCACAAGATTAAGATCCTGAGGACTGATGCTGATGGAGAGTATGTGTCAAATAATTTTGATGTACCATGTGAAAGAGAGTGGATATCACATGAAGTAGTGTCACCATACACTTCTCAACAAAATAGAATTGTAGAAAGGAAGAATATTACCATCATGAAAATGGTGATGAGTATGTTAAAGGGAAAGCATCTACTTAATGAGCTTTGGGGTGAGACTGTGTCCACTCCAACACGTATCTTAAATAAATGTCCAACCAAAAGGCTAAAGGTAATTACAACAGAAGAATGTTGGTATAATGTTAAGCCAAGTCTAAGCCACTTTAAGATGTTTAGGTCTATTGCACATAGACATGTGCCTGATCACCTGAGAAGAAAGCTTGATGACAAGTTAAGCGAAATAGTCTTGATAGGATATTACTCAACTAGCAACTACAATTTGTTTGATCCTGTGAGGAGATATATTATGATCAACAGAGATGTGATCATTGATGAATTGAAAGAATGGTATTGGAATGAAAATGTCAAGAAGGATTCATTAAGAATCTTTTGTGATGAAATAAGTTGTAAAGCTAACAATGAGATTCAATTAGAAGGTAGATGAACTCAAGCAAACACAAGCATATCTCAAAGGACAAGAAATATGCCAACAAGGTTGCAAGACTGTGTGATCATATTGGATGATGTGGTTAATGATGAAGGTGGGTTGGTACATTATACTTTCTATGCACACACTAGGATTACTAATCTAGCCGAGGCACTAAAGGATTAAAATTGGATGAATGATATGATGGAGGAGTTCAAGTCCATATAAGTCATTAAAATGTGGTCACTAGTTGAATTACCACAAAGAAAGAAAACAATTGATGTGAAGTGGGTGTACAAACTGAAACTGAATTCCAAAGGAGAAGTGACCAGGCACAAAGCAAGAATTGTAGCCAAAGGATTTCTTAAAAGAGAAGGAAACGACTTTGATGAAGTGTTTGCACCAGTGGCCAGGATTAAAACAAAAATGCTAGTTATTTGATTGACAAACATGAACAACTGATCAATATGAGGGTGAGATGTGCATTTCTGAATGACCCTTTAAATTAAGAGACTTATGTGTCACAACCAGATGGTTTTGAGAGGGAAAACCAAGAAAATAAGGTGTACAAACTGCATAAAGCATTGTGTGGATTGAAATAAACTCCAAGAGCTTGGAACAAGAGGATTACTAAAGTATCCTAAAGGAACACTAGATTATGAAAATTTATTTCTATAACATGTGAAGGAAAGGGATGCACATTTGTGGGAAACATTGACTCAAGTTGGTGTGGTGATGCTGAGTATAGAAAATATACAATTTGTTATGTGTTCACGTTAGGTGGTGCACTAGTTGCTTGAAGCTTAAGAAGAGAACCGGTTATAGCATTATCATCATGTGAAACATAATATATGTTGATTCTTTCTGTGCCTATTAAGTAGCATGGATGGTGAATCTAATTGATGAGATTGAAGGCAAGAATCATGGAGCAATGGCTGTGAGAACTAACAACATATTTGTTATCAACTTGGCCAAGAACTCAATAGCACATGGACGTGGAAAACACATTGAAATGAGATCCCACTATATTAAAGAACAAGTAACAAATGGAAATGTACACTTGGAGCATTGCATAAGTGAAAATCAAATAGTTGACATCATGATCAAAGGCGGGCAAGCGATGTTTTCAAAAGGTTGAGAAAAATGATGAATGTAAAAAGTCCAAACATAATGAATTAAATGACGTGTTGAAAGTGTAATTCATACTGTCAATTTATGTTGCTTAAGAATCATGTAACAAGTTGGTTAATGGCTAGAATTTTGTTACACAATCGAATTCTGTTTTGAAAGTTCGTTAGAAATTTGCTTAGCATGTAAGGATATACCCAAATGAGTATTATCATAGACCCGGGTAGGTATATCAGTTTTAGTTAAACAAACTATTTTAAGAATATACTTTAAAGGTATATTATTGACTCTGATGGGTATATCAATTTTGAATATAACAGACAATTTGTTTTTAAGACTTGATTTAGTTGGTTAATGTATACATAAACACCACACCTCATTATAATTAAAAAATATAACAATAATAAATTCTCTTCTTCTCCCTCATCCCTCTCTATATTACAATCTTTATCTTTTCTTCTTTTCAATTCTACAGTGGAAGAAACTAGTTTGAATCTTTCAAATCTTATGTTTGTATTACTGAAGTAAAAAATGGTACGAAGATTAATCAATTAATCTAGTAAAAATGGATTGTTATTCAAATTCCATTATCGTAAAATTAGTAACTATTTCTCCATTCTTTTTTAAATGTCATTTTTTTTGACGTATTAAAAAAGTTAATAATAATTATTATTTTTTAAACAATAATTATTGTCTATTTTATTCTTAATTTTTTATTAATTAATTTGACTTTTTCTCTCTCTAATAAATAATTAAAAATTATTTTGGTAAAACAATAATAAATATTATTTTCAAAAATGACACTTAAAAAAAATAAATCTTTTTCTAAAAAATGACAATAAAAAAGGAACATGTAGTTAATTAAAATGACTTAATTTTTGCCCTCTCACATACAAACCCAAGCTTGTCATTCCCAATTGTATGTCGGAGCGAAACACGTGTGTTGTGGGTCCATGCAAACGTGGCGGCAAGGAGTGAAAACGAAGCTAAAAGTGTTCTTTCATCACCGGTACGGCACGCATGCAACACCACCCTCACTCCATCGTCTTCACCATCACCGCCAACTTTCTCTCTTTCATCAATTTCCGATACTTCTGATTTCTCCAAATTCCGATTGCTCTTTCCACCCCATACTTCCTCATCCAACCACCAACCTCCCTTCTCTCTCTCACCGATATTCTCGTGAAAGTTAGGGACACGCTCACATCAGAATGAGTTTTCAAGACTTGGAATCCGGCCGGCGCAACCTAATCAACGGCAAACAAAACCCGACGCAGGCGGTTGCTTCCGGCGTATTTCAGATCAACACCGCCGTCTCCACTTTTCAGAGACTCGTCAACACACTCGGAACCCCCAAAGACACGCCAGAACTCCGCGAGAAACTGTGAGAGATCGTGCACCACTCTCTCGCTATATGGATCATTTTTCATCATGGATGAATAATAAATTGGAAAGTTAGTTTGTTACTTCTATTTTAAGATACTGATTGTATTGATTCGTTCTCTGTTTTTGTAACTTTCAGGCACAAGACGAGACTTCATATTGGACAATTGGTGAAGGATACGTCGGATAAACTTAAACAAGCTAGTGAAATTGATCATCATGTTGATGTTAATGTGAGTTTGATGTTTGAAGTTCTATTATCTATTTCGATTGCATGTGAAAACAAATCAGTTTATTGGTATTTTATGTTCAATCTGTAGAGAGTATGAGTTTCTTTAAATGGATCTTAGGATCAATTTTTTGATTTACTGTTACAATTGTGGTTGCATTTGCATTGAAATTTTAATATCATGAAAATTTATGGATAAAATACGGCCGAGATTGCAAAGGCAATCAAGATGTTATTTCGCCGTGATTGCAATTGCAGTTTTAAACTGCAATAAAACCATGCTTGAATTATGAGTGTTTGTTGCATGGTTATCAAATCAAATAGTGAATTGGAGACCTATTTTTTGAATTGCAATCAAATCTTGTTATGAATCATAAGATGTACTAACAATAAAAATGACATTTTAAAGTTAAAACTAAAACAAGTGAGATAGAAAAATTATAAGATGATATATCATATATGAAACTAAAAATTCGTGGCATAATCTAAATGATAAAAAACAGTACAAAGTTGACAAAAAAGAGTGTTGGACTATGCTTAGTTTAGGAAGGAATTCATCATCATAGACCATGGTTTATCTTAGTGAATGATCATGATCGGAATTCAGGATGAGATTCATGTCCGTAATAGATACACATTAGAGCTTTGTATCAACTGGGTAAAGTTTGTATTGAATTGAGATACGACTCTTATGTATCATAAGATACTTTCAACCATGGTTTGCTGTAGTTATTTATTGATGTACTAGTGACGTGATCTCAAACTCTTTTTACTTGAAAATAAAATGAGAAGAGATTTTCAATGTTTTTTTTTTTTGTATCTGCAGGCAACCAAGAAGATAGCAGATGCTAAATTGGCTAAAGAATTTCAGGCAGTGTTGAAAGAATTTCAGAAGGCACAGCGTCTTGCAGCCGAGAGGGAGACAGCTTACACTCCTTTTGTTCCGCAAGATGCTCATCCATCCAGGTGACTGACCAATGTCTTTGGAGTTTTAGTGGAAGGGGAAAGATTGCTAATGTGCTGTTGTTATTAGTTTCTATTACCTTTGCATACAACTAACTGTACAATACTTATAGCATGGGCTTTTCTTTCTGCCCTGCAGCTATACAGTCAGTGGAGTAGGTGTTAGTTCTGATAAAAGTCAAGAACAGCATGCCCTTGTGCAATCCAAAAGGTAATTTCATGTATCTTGTTTTCTAGTAAATGAAGTGATTTGCAGATCCATTTTCACGATATTGTATATTTAAAAAATTATGAGATATTTACCTTCCTCATAAACTTTGGATCATAATAGTTTGCAATATAAGAGATGATATGATAAAAAAGTACAAAACAATATTTTGAATGAAATTCTAAATTAATTTTAGATAGAGTCGTGCATTTTCTAATTTATAATTATGATGCAAGGATATAATTGATGCACTTCCTTTCTTTTTCTTTGGCGTGGGTTAGTACTTCGGACACATGATAAATGGCAGGATTCACACATCATTAAATTTGATGAAAAACTCACCATCATTTATTAGTCAAAAGGCTGCATCTCGAATTCAACTTATTGTAGAATTTATATACTCCGTATAAGCTATATTAAGCTGAAATCGAATTGATCCCCAAAGGCACGTCTTCTTCTTTGTAAGTTTTCTGGGTGGTGCAAAAGATTTGGTGAAATGATCACTGGCGGCACTCTGCCATGTGAAATTAAATTTGTTGAAAAACTGAACTTGCATCTATATCATTGTAAGACTTGTCAAATTTAACCATTTGCATCTTTTTAGTTGGTTAGCTCTTTAATTATTCATGCTGCAGACAGGAGGTAATATCTTTAGATAATGAGATTTCCTTCAATGAGGCTATCATCGAGGAAAGAGAACAAGGCATTCAAGAAATCCAGCAGCAGATTGGGGAAGTAAATGAGATCTTCAAAGATCTTGCCGTGCTTGTTCATGAGCAAGGAGCAATGATTGGTAACTAACTAGTTCCCCCAACCCCCACCCTTTATTTACTTTTGTTACTTATGTATCCTCTATCAGTCGTTTTATATGTCTAGACTAGACTGGTTTATGGTAGTTGATGTTGAGAATTTCCATTTTGTAGATGATATTGGATCAAACATTGAGCATTCCCATGAAGCCACTGCCCAAGCAAAATCAGAACTTGTGAAAGCTTCTAAGACACAACGATCAAGTTCATCTTTGGTATATAGTATACGTTTTCATTTTATGATTGAATTGTTGATTTTGAAGTGTCCTCTTCGTCCTGTCACTTAATTTAGATATGGTGATTTTTGAGTAAATATAAATGCTATGGCTTAGTGAATTTAAACCTTCCTCATTTTTTCTTGAAAACTCGGTAACTGGCCCTAGGACCGACTAATCCGAGGGACCAATCACACCATCCATTAACAGGGGGGGTCCAATTGAAGACACAAAGCTTTGCATAGACCAACCCAACACAGAAATCGTTAACACTAACGAGATTCAAACCTTCCTCACATATTGTACTGAACTTACACAAGGCTACATTCTTACAAAGTATATATAATCCATAATTTTAGGAATGAAAAAGTCCTGGTCATACACAGCTTAACTTAATATTACCGTGCCTTCTTTTATCTTTTAAAACATCATGTGACTTTTTTTTTGTCAATCTCAAATGTTCACACTTCTATGTAGGTGTGCTTGCTTTTGGTGATATTTGGAATAGTGCTTCTCATCATCATCATTGTTGTTGCCGCTTAGTCCATTATAAATGAAAGGTACTATTTACTAATCTGCAGAATCTATCTTGCTAATATTTCTACTGAATGGTGTTTTACCTGATCTCATGCACGACTAGGTTGTCACTCTGTCTCATCTGGTTTTAATACACGGCGCCGAAATTGCTTACTCTATCCTGTCTTTGTTGTTTAAGGGGGTATGTTCTCCTCTTTATGTTGGTGTTTGGAATTTTAAGGATGTGTCACAACCTGCTTGTTGTGTAAGTCATGTTCATGTTTATATTTAATAAAATAAATATTTATTTCATTCTTTACCTGAATATATGCAATTCAAAAAGGGGGCATTTCCAATTCTTAGCAATATCTCGATTTAGGAATGTCATTTTCCTCTTGAATTTGTGGTCATCTTTTTCCAAAAATTTAATAAAAGTGCTTGTGTAGGTCTAACTAATAAAGATCCCCTGCAAGTTTGCATGGATGTAAGGGGGAAAAAATGACAAAACATATGTGTGAAATTTCGCCATATGTCACGAGAGGAAGAGTTTTTTTACTATTATTTTCTTGCTCGTGGAATTTTCTTAAAATAGATATATAGAGGCTGGAGAAAATGGAGTTTAAACTTGAACAAAACAAAGCAAAATCATGATTTCTAAGTTGCAAAGACAGTTATATCAACTTAACTTATTATATCATCGAAGTAAACTGTGAAATGCATTTGTTTAACTAGTCAATAATGTTATTGACTTGACGAAAGCAAGGAGGCAGTTCAATGAACAAAGTACGAATCGACTTCTGCCCTTTTTTTTGTCTTCATGTTTTTTCGTTTTAAAATACAGTTACTGCCTTGTTAACTGGCACCTGCTGATCCGAAGATTGTTGGTTCTAGTTGCTCTCTAGTCTCTAATGAATATTGAATGAGCCTATCACTTTCTTTGAAAGAAACCATAATTCTGTGAGTGTGATATGTTAAATGTACATGAACATCTAATTAGACTACTATTAAAGTAAACACTTGACACAGATTGAGAAACAGGAGAATTCATATATCACCCTATTCCTTGGTTTGCTTAATTGTGTTGGGTGTTATGGTATTTGGTTCCAAAAGGGTTTCTTGTGGAGGAGTGTTTTGAGGTAACCAAGCTACTGTCATATTTGCCTTTGCTTCTTATTTAGGCAACTGCAAGTTCTGTAGATGCTGATTATGGACAATTGTCTTGGATATTAACATTGCTCGGTGAAGAGGGTTTAAAAAATTAGGGGTTAAATATACTTATTAGAATATTACAGGAGGAGTGCTCTTCTACTCTCCCATGTTCTCATTTGCTTATGATGATTTTGAGTTTCACTCATGAATGGGGATTATTTTCTTGAACCCATGTCTTTAGGGAGGCAAATCAAGTTGTCCTTTGTTTGGTTAAGTTTGGTTTGTCCCTTAACGGTGTTAGTAGTATTTTGATGTTGTTCCTTTGTTTTTTTGTCTTTGTTCATTACGGTGGATCTCAATGAAGCACGGATACGATAAGTATATAAAAAAATTAAAATTAAACATTAGTTAAATGATTCTCTAATAAAAATTAATTGAGTTTGCAAAATTTGATAATAATTGGTCAAGGAATTATGAGAAAAAGAAAAAATTATTTAAGGCAAGAGAAAAGTAATTAAAGGAAAAGTTTGATTCTTGTAATAGAAAAAATGAAAGTGATGAGATAATTAAACTTGAGAAAAGAAGAATTAAGGATGAGGAAGATTGATTCATATTCTAGAAATATGAATAGACATGAGATTGTAGCCACCGTATCGGAATGTTATCTGAATTTTTTATTTAAATTCAGATATTCTTTTGATATGTATCGGCAGTGTATCAGATTTTAGAGTATATGTGTTTCATCTCAGGATCTTGATGTCACATGTTTCTCTCAGCATATTTATGGGGTGTATTTAGATGATATAGAGAATGGACTTTTCATCTAAATGGAAGAAATGAATTATGGAGTCAGTTCGGGCTGCTGGTGTGTTAGTACTTGTTATAAGAAGTCATGCTGGCAGATTATGACAGGAGTTCCTCTTTCTATTTCTGTATTATTAGGGCTTAGTTATACCTTGCTGTAGAAGGTGGCAGTTTCTTGGACTTTTCCATTTGTGATGCAAGAGGTAGCTTCAATATCTAATTCAAGTGTTAGTTAAAGTTATAATTTTGATGTATAGATGTCAACCAATTAAACCCTCTTCTAGTAGTATATTTGTCATTAAGATTTTCACTCCACATTAAGCAATTTTCAAGAAATAAGAAAGCAATTTTCAAGAAATAAGAAAATTGGTTGCATTCTTTGAATTGAAGTAGCAACTTTTTGAGGGCAACGAAAGATTTATAGGTATTTGATCTTTGTTGGAACTTTAATTAATTAATGGTGGAACTTTAATTAATTATAGTGGGAATTGGAAACATTTGTTGACAATTAATGAACAATTAATGAACACAAGTGAGAACTAATATAGAAGTGAATTTGAAAAGATTCATTTTAGTCCCACATTGAAGGGAATGGAAATATTAGTCGTGTTTAGATGAATTATTTTTGGACCCGAATTTATATAATTTAATTATCATTAATTAATTAATATAATTCGGTGGAAAATTAATTAATAATAAATATTAATTAATTAAGAAAATAATTGGTCAGTCAGTCCTCCACGAATTTCTCAGTCTCCCACCATTTTCTCCACTCCCCACGAATTTCTCAGTCTCCCACCATTTTCTCCACTCCCCACGAATTTCTCCCCACTCAGGTGCAGTTTGCTGCCTATAAATACAGGGTAGAAATTCAGAAGTGGGTACATCGGATTTCAAAAATTCACACGAATTTTGATTTCCCTCCTCTCTTTCTCATTTCTCTTCATCTCAAAAACTCTCTTTTCTTGACTGGTTACTTTAACCAGATACTTTGAAAGGTGTATTTCTAGAGCGATTTATCAGTGTGCAACTGATAATCGTAAGTTTTAAGAACGGGCTGTTTTATCCTGGAGACGTCGTCGTAAATTCGACTGCTTTGCATAATTTGGCAGTACGACGAAACGTCTTAAAGAAAGCGACCTAGTACGCGACTCGTCCCGATAATTTCCTTCTGCCAAACGCTATTTTTTCAAATCCGAAAACAACAATTTTAAGACGGTTTCATAACTGCCATGGCAACTGAGGAAATTATCGGTACTACTGCGGCCGCTTCGGTCTCTGACAAACCTTTCAGGTTTGAGGGTTCCAATTTCAAACGTTGGCAAGCTAAGATGAAATTCTTCTTAACTCTGAAAAAGGTTGCCCACGTTCTGACTGAGGATATCCCGGTTGTCCCTTCTGCATCATCTGAACTACCTAACGGTAACTCACTTGCAGATTCAGACGGGACTTCCAAAATATCTGACTCAGATGCTGCAAAAGCTAAGGCTGCAGCAGATGATCTACAGCTCCGAAAAGAAATCGCCTTATGGCACGAGAATGATTATCTGTGCAAAAATCACATTCTGAACAGCCTTGCTGATGATCTGTACGACTACTACAGTAGCTACAGGACTGCTAAACAGGTTTGGGAGGCTCTGCAAAGAAAATATGATACTGAAGAAGCAGGTGCGAAGAAATTTGCTGTCAGCCGCTACTTGAACTACAAGATGGTGGATGAGAAGTCGGTGGAAGCTCAAAGCCACGAAATACAAAAGATTGCTCATGAGATCATTACAGAAGGTATGCCCCTCAATGAACAATTTCAAATTGCTGTAATTATTGACAAACTGCCCCCTGGTTGGAAAGATTTCAAAAATGTGCTTCGTCACAAAACAAAAGAATTTTCAATCGAGAGTCTGATAACTCGCCTCCGAATTGAAGAGGAGGCTCGGAAACAAGATCAGAAAGAAGAAGTCTTAGTTGTGTCTAACAACAAAAAGAAATTCGGTGCGGTTCTGAAGCCTACGGGCAAACCTTTAAAGAATCAGAACCGCAATGCTATGAACCGAATTAAGAATGGGAATCCCTCTAGGGCCCCATCGGCTCCATTTGCTAAGCAACAGCCACCACCTCAAAGAAATGATGCTCCGGTTTTCACTTGCTATAATTGTGGGAAACCGGGCCATATGGCAAAGAAATGTAGGAGCAGGCCTAAACCTGCAGCTGGCTCAAATGCTCAGGTCAACCTGACTGATGAGCAACTCATTGCCATGATCACTGAAATCAACATGGTTGGTGGAAGTGATGGTTGGTGGATAGACACTGGCGCCACTCGTCATGTCTGCTATGATCGTGCTATGTTCAAGACATACATGAATGCTGAAGATAAGAAAGTGTTGTTGGGAGATGCTCACACCACTAATGTTGCTGGAATTGGAGATGTTGAGCTGAAGTTCACTTCAGGAAAGACTTTGATCTTGAAGGACGTCATGCATGTTCCTGAAATTAGGAAGAATCTTGTTTCTGGTTTTCTTTTGAATAAGGCTGGGTTTAGTCAAACTTTAGGGGCAGATTTGTACACCATCACTAAGAATGGTATTTTTGTTGGAAAAGGGTACGCCACTGATGGCATGTTTAAGTTGAATGTTGATTTGAATAAAACTTCTCCTTCTGTTTACTTTTTGTGTGATTTTAATATTTGGCATGGTAGACTTTGTCACGTTAATAAACGAATCATTTCTAATGCAAGCAACATAGGCCTAATCCCTAAACTAAATATTAATGATTCCAATAAATGTGAATTTTGCAGTCAAGCTAAAATAACAAAGACTTCACATAAATCAATAATAAAAGAATCTGATCCCCTAGATCTTATACACTCTGATATATGTGAATTAGATGGAAGTTTAACTAGAAATAATAAACGTTATTTTATCACTTTTATTGACGATTGCTCTGATTATACTTATGTATATCTAATGAAGAATAAAAGTGAAGCGCTTGACATGTTTAAGGTGTATGTAACTGAAATTGAGAATCAATTTAACAAGAAGATTAAGAGACTTCGCAGTGATAGGGGAACCGAATATGAC